TGTGGTTCCGCTTGATTCTGTCAGAATAAGTCCAGTCTTAAAAAATAGGGCGGGGGCAGTGCAGGGGGACTCTTCCTTTGAGGGGTGAGGAGCACACATCCAGGGAGGGAGGGAGGAGCTGGCACTGGCCTGGAGTTCTCCTGTCCCCATGTCTTAGAGCCATCTTGTGGCAGAAGTTAGAAGAAACAGAGGAGGTAAGAGAGGCACACATCAAACTGCGTCTCAAGGCTCCGCCACTTGTGACCCTCCACTTCCAAACACACACTGGAGATCTGCTAAAAGGGGTGGCACATCAGAGAGAGGGGTGGAGAAATAATAGTACACGTACCACAGGGGTGTCCGGAGCAGAAAGCACGCATTTACCGAGCGAAGGGGAAAGTGGGATAAGAAGGAGCCGGGGCGCTGGAACCAGGCTGCCTGCGGGGAGCGCAGGCCGGTGCCGCTAGAAGCACAGGCCTGGGGCAGTCCATCGACTCCACTTGCATCTCGGAGTCCTGACCTGTGAGGTGGGGGCACCGTGGCTGCCACGGTGGGCTGGCTCTCACTTAAGAACAATGGTGAGGACAGTGCAGGACTGCGTACACGCGGTCGACATGGGCACCTGACCACAAGAACAGCCCCAACCCGGGAGCCGTGGTGGTGGAGCGGACGACACACCTGGTTGCTAGTCGCCAGGTCAGCAGTTTGAAACCACCAACAGCCCGGCAGGAGAAAGAGGTTTTCTTCTCCGGGAAAGGAGTCGCGGCCTCGGAAACCCACAGGGGCAGCTCGACTTTGTCCTAGAGCGCGGCTAGTAGTTGGAATCGACCGGATGGCAGAGAGCTTTTGTGGACCCCAAAACCAAGCCTGTTGGTAGCCACTTGATTCTGACCCGTAGCGACCATGTAGGGCAAGAATACACGCGACGGCAGCATGTCCGGGACAGCAGTCTTTGCGGAGGTGGCGGCCACAGCTTTCTCCCTTGGAGCGGCTGCTGGGCTGGAGCCACTGGCTAAGAGCGTACCCCCTGTGCTTTCCTTTTGAAAGCGCTCTGAGGGGGACGGGCACGCAGAAGGTGCTCAGTGAGTGCTAGTGGGTAGCCATAGGTTTTTCCTGTAGTTTCGGCACTGGTTACTACCACTGCCAGCGGTGAGAGGAGATGCTGCTGAGAGCCCTCCATATCAGCCATCTGCAAAGAAACGTCTTCTCCAAGGGAGGCCAGAGAGTCAGGGTGGCATCGTGGTTATGCGTTGGGCTCCGATTCTCATGGTCAGCAGTTTGAACCAACCAGCAGCTCGGTGGGGGAAAGACTGGGCCTCCTACTTCCATAAACAGTTACAGCCTCGGAAATCCACAGGGGGTCGCTATGAGTCAGCACTGACCCGATGGCGGTGAGTTTTAGGTGAGGCCAGGAACCGGATGCAGGAAGAATTTCTGGCTCAACTCACTGATTCCGACTCATAGCGGCCCTACAGAGCATTGTAGAAAACTAACTGTCCCCTGTGGATTTCTGAGACTGTAACTCTTTATGGGAGTAGGACTGGGCTATGAGGCCTTTAAAAAGGTCAAAATCTCCCTTTTGTTCACGTTTCTGACTTTTTAATTAAACAGACCTGGCTCATGTTCCAACCTCCTCACTTGAGGGTGGTTG